ATTATAATGTAGCTAAAAGGTATACCTACACAATTATAATTTTATTGTTAAAGTCTTTGAAACCTAATAAATTGAAATATATAATAAATAATTAACCAATTAATATAATAAATACAATAAATTGAGTAAAATAAAACAAACCAATTGTTTCTTACATAAATAGAAAATAGGTATAAAATACAAGATACAAATGAGTCTTGAAATAGTTAATTATTTCGTACGTATATTTATTATTTTACTAGGGTTTACTAAAATAAAAATGGAAGAGGTATTGACAAAACAGTACTGTATGAAAATAAATGAAAGTAAAAATAAAATACTGGTACGCAAGGGAAGAAAAAGTAGGGAATGAACGAATATAAAGATAGGAAACGAAAATTTAAAGGAAGTGGCTGATTTTAGATATCTAGGATGTCAGATAAGTCAGGACGGAAGGAGTAGTAGGGATAGTAGGGTCGTGTCGCCTTTAATAAAAAGAAGTCACTTCTATGCTCGCGAACGGTTAATTTAGAAATTCGAAAAAGGTTGTTAAAGGCGGATGATGAGGATAACGTGGATAGAGAAGGTTAGAAATGAAGAGGTATTAGAAAGAATAAGAAAACAGAGGACTCTATGGAAGTCAATAAAAAATAGGCTGGTAGGACACCTTCTTAGGCATGAAGGTCTAGTCAGAGACATATTAGTGGCAGAAACAGGAGTTAGGAGGGGTAGAGGTAGACCTAGATTAGATTACTGTTCGCAAATAGTTAAGGATGTGGGCTGTTCTAGTTTTAGGGAAATGCGAAGTTTAGCTCAGGATAGGAAAGAGTGGAGGTACGTGTCCAGTCAGTCTTAGGCCTGACGTCCTTATGATGATGGTGAGGGTTTACCTGCGGATTCGCTCGCTTTGATGTCCTAAATGTGTTAAAAGTGATGAAAAACTAATTTTTGTTGTCCTTTGAGAACAGTGTTTCTTTTTGGATTGAAAAGGTACTCCACGTGCTTTTGTGTACCTCTGAAAATTAGTGGAAGTATAAAATTTTCATGATTGGCTAGGATTGTACCATTTTTTTGAATAGTAAATAAATGATTTTATCAAGAAATCGGGGTGAAAGATGCTGCTATAAAATTTAGAGTTTTCCGACGTTTTACAGTACTTTTTTTTGATATTTCATAAAAAATATATACGAAAAATTATTACTAGTTAAAAATTTTGGTGGAGGCGCCGGGATAATTTAAAGTAAAGGCTGAAATTGAGATATAATCTGCATGTCTTTGAAGTAGATTAATGAATTTTCATCTCTTAATTACATAAAAATGAAGATAGGAGTGTTAATTTATATTTTTTTTAATATAATTTAAACTACAATTTTTAATACAATGCATAGACAACCCTACATACAGCTAATATTACAGGTATTATAATGTAGCTATAAGGAAGAATAAAAGACGATTTTTCTCTAGGAACTTACTGATCTCGATCTAATAATTAATTGATTTCTTAGGAGTAGTTTTAAAGACATGATGATGTAAAGTTAGTTGAAAACTCTTATACATTTTTGTTTGGTGAAGTTTAAAAAGGATTTAGTTATTAGTTGCGAGTGTTTATTTATTTTTTCTAATGTAAATTATTGTTTGAATACCGATAGAAAGACATTTATAATGATAGACACAAAGAATATCGCAAATTGTTAAAAAATTATTAAAAATTTTGGCGGATGCGCCGGGATAATTTAAAACGAAGGCTACAATTGAAGTATAATTCGGGTTTTGTTGAAGTAGATTGATGAATTTTCATCTTTAAATTACATAAAAATGCAGATTTATATTTTCTTTTAAGATAATTTAAACTAAAATTTTTATTACAATGCATAGACAACCCTACATACAGCTAATATTTCAACTATTATAATGTAGCTATAAAGAAGAATAAAAGACGATTTTTCTCAAGGAACTTACTTTTTTTGAGAAACTCATGGTCACTATCATTTACGACCTAATAATTAATTGATTAGCAGTAATTTTAAAGATTTAAATAAAACTTATACATTTTTGTTTGGTGCAGTTTATGAAGGATTTAGTTGTTAGTTACGAGTGTTATTTTTATGTAGATTATCGTTTTAATACCGAAAAAAAGACATTCATAATGATACACATAAAAGTTATCACAAATTATTAAAAAAGTTATAAAAAAATTTATTTAAAAGTTAAAACAAATGCTAGAATTGAATTATAATTCAAGTTTCATTGAAGTAGATTGACGAATTTTCATCATTAAATGATATACTTTTCTATGCTATTTAACTTTTTATCGTTTTTGAGATAACTTATGATTTTCTATGAAAGAAAACTTCTCTCCTTGTCCCTTTTACAGTCGAGGAGGTCAACATGGACTATTTCAGATATATTCGGTCTGATTTTTGAAGAAAACATTTTTTTTTAGTAAAATCGAAGTATAAAAAATTAAAATACAAGTCATCCAATCCAACAGAATTTAGTTCTTTTATTAATTGTAGGAACATTAAAAAAAAAGATAGAAAATTTGTAATCGTCAGTTCTTCTACTAGTTCAAGTTTCTAAAAAGTAACTCAATGCGTTGAGCATTTGTACGATTTTATTCGTTTGTATGATAGATAAATTTGACAATCGTTGATAGTAGTTGAAGACAGTTAATCCTTGTTAAGCAGAAAAAATACAATTAGCTATACAACTTAGAAATTACACATACGTAGAAATTTCATACTCCTTGATAAGTTCACTCTAGCGACTAAAGGAGGTTTAAAATTTTCAAGCCTGTCCTCACGTTATCCTGGCTACGGTACTGAAGGCAGGTCCCTGTTTATAGTAGCAATAAATTATACTAAATATTTAAATCTACTAACGTTATCTGCAAATGTAAAGTTCTCGTTGGTCCTTGTTGTGGTGTGAAATTGTTTCAACAATTTTGTAGTAGGTGTCGCTTTGAGTATCTTAAAATAATATATTTTTTATCCAAGTAGAAGTACAGGCCTGACGCTGGAAGCTGGAGGAAATTTTAAAATGACGTGGGTGCGCGGTGGCAAAAGTAGGCAGTTTTAGGTATAAAGATTGCAGCCCTCAGTCTTCAGTATTCCTATCAGGGGCGTAGATTAAATATTTAATAATAGGGATCAGTGAGCAAGTAATAGACAGACAAACAGAAGAACTAATTGTTGATGTTGGTGACAGTGATAGAGATTCCCATGATGAGAGTGAATGTGAAANAATAAGCTTTATTCTTTGTATAAATATCCGGGTTTAAATTCTTATTCAGTTACTTAATCACTATTCTTACAATAATAAATTGATCACTAATTTTAATTAATAAATTTAACGCAATCAGATGATGATGCCATCCAACTAACTAATAAAACTTTTGCTGTGTTTCTAGTTTATGTTTATTTTAGTATAATTCTTGGATTTTATTTGGTTATTCATCTCCAACAATATTAAAATATGTACAGGCCCTACGCTGGAAGCTGCGGAAATTTTAAAATGGCGTGGATGTGCGGTGGCAAAAGTAGGCAGTTTTAGGTATAACGATTGCAGCCCTCTTTCTTCAGTATTTCTATCTGGGGCGTAGATTAAATATTTAAAAATAGGGTTCAGTGAGCAAGTAATAGACAGACAAACAGAAGAACTAATTGTTGATGTTGGTGACAGTGATAGAGATTCCCATGATGAGAGTGAATGTGAAAACCAATTATAAAACAAAAGCAATAGCTTAATTTTTTCTTTTTGATAAGTCATGTTTTTACATTATTTTCTAGTACGCTACTGTCCCATCTGTATTAATACTACAATTTACGCCTATTGAAAGCTTATTTGTGTATCGGTTCCGAGTGACTTACCCAAATAGGTCATAAATGGGCAAGTACCTGCCCGATCGCTCGCCAGCTTCCTTCGTCAGACCTGTATTTACATTTTATATCAACTTTATCCAGAAAATGAATACCAAGTACATATTAACTGACTTAATTTAGTTTGTTGATTATTATCAAAACCACTTTCTGATAATTTGAAATGTGTTTTATTTATTTAGAAAATCTTTTTCAATAATTTACAGGTAAGGCAAATATTTCAATGCACTTTTAGATAAAAAGAAAATTAAACAACGTTGCAGTACAGTGCACATTAGGATATTTTTATCTACCTATCGTTTTAATCCATTAAAATGAGTAGCTTTTGTGGTGGCTGGGAAAATACAGTAATCAAAATTTTCGACATTTTTAAATTTAAAAGAGGTAGTACAAGTATCGATATGGAAGTAAATGTGACCATTTTGACTTCCAGTCCAATCAATATAATTTTATGAAATCCAATTTTGTGCATTCTAAGAATTTGGATTTGATAAAATTATTTTGACGTTACCATTTGCTTTGAAATCAAATAGTTAAGGATGTGGGTTGTTTTTGTTTTAGGGAAATGCGAAGATTAGCTCAGGATAGGAAAGAGTGGAGCTGCGTGTCCAACCAGTCTTAGGACTGACGACCTTATGATGATTATGATAATAATGATTTATTCCTACCACAATGAAGAGAAAGATACCCTTATCTACCTCGTCTAGTCGCAGGTAAAAAATATTGTTGGTACTTTATAAAATTTTTGCAACTTACCCNTTGATAAAATTATTTTGACGTTACCATTTGCTTTGAAATCAAATAGTTAAGGATGTGGGTTGTTTTTGTTTTAGGGAAATGCGAAGATTAGCTCAGGATAGGAAAGAGTGGAGCTGCGTGTCCAACCAGTCTTGGGATTGACGACCTTATGATTTTAATCAAAATCACTATTATGATAAGGAAAACAGTAAAAACAAACGCTTAGGTTGGAATAATAAGGTTAAGGTAAGGAAAGACAACACACGCGAAGTACTTTATATTGTGGTCTGTGATTGTTCCGGTTTTATTAGAGGTAGACATAACAATAGTAACATACATCGAAACAAAAATTGACGTTAAAACAAAAATTCACTTTAACTCGAATTTTCTCTAACACAAGCACAACTCAATTGGGAAAAGTTTGATTTTGTTAATTTTTCGTTTATTTATCCGCGTATTTTATTAAAATTATTATTATTAGTAGTAGTAATTATTCATAGAGCTCACGAGTTAGTCTAAGGAAACACGGTTTAATCTAGCAAATTGTTGTTGGAAATTGATAAATTATTTTCCGTTCTCTTTTGATACCCGTACAACTATCATACGATGCCTGTCGCAAAATTTAAGGGGGTGTGATAGCGGTGGTGGTTTTGCAAATAAATTAAAAACAGCGTTGAGCATGCGTGAGTAAGAGGTGCAGGTCGATGGACCACGCGGTTGGACGATACCAGCGTCGCGACGCTTGTGTTTAGTCTTTGACGCCGTCTAGAGAGTGTTATTTGGTTGACGCTGATACGTGCACGACATCCTACGGTTTTTCGTAAACAGCAACTGACAAAGGTAACAAACCATGTGAAAATAATTTGCGCCTTTTTAAGTTGAGTTATTAAACAAAAAGTTTTTATATTTGGACTTTTTAAGTGCCTCATTAAATAAACAATTATTTAATATTTGTTTTTAATGTTGGCGCTAGACTTATTGAAAAGAAAATTGCTTTTTTTAATATCTTTTTGGAATCGACTGTTTTTGCAATTTGCACAAGGTAATTAGCAGTTAACGTAATTGTAAAAATTCTCTTTTTAATTTGACGAGCTGTAAGAACCGTAGTTATTTTTGAAAAAAGAAAAATGAAGGGGTGATAGGTAAGATACTTCATACGTAACTTTACATTTGATTTTATTTTAATTCAGTAAATTTTGATACACTATCATTTAATTTTATTGCTACATATTGCAAACGTTTGCCAAGATAAAATTTGCTCATAGTAATTTTCTCCGCAGTCAAATTGATAGCTTGGCGATGATTTTATATCCGTAACCACTTTTAAAATAAAGTTGATTGATGTCAAGCACAAGATTGGAGTTTTATACTTTTTTAAATGACCAAATTAAGAAAACGGGGGATGACGCTGTTCCTTAAACTGAGTTGTGTATTAGACGTTTTAGTAAATAAAAGACATTACTTTGTAATTGTTCGAAATTTCCAAAAACGTAATATAACTTTGGGTAAAAATCTAGTGATTTGTGATTTTGTTTGCTTTGTGTCTGTTGTCATTTTGTTGTTATTTAATGCAACAAGTTAAATATGTTACAGGACATTTATAAATATTGTAGGTACCTATAGTCCAAATTTATGTTAAGCCTTTTAACAAATTTCTTGTCTGAAATCATCGTATCATCTATTTCATGTTAGATCAAAATTTTTTAGCAATATAGTTAAATTATGTAGGTAGCTATACAACTTTGAAACCATTATCCATTTTATTACCATCGATTTGTGTACCTTTACGTATTGTCAGAGTTATAGCCGAAGGGATATACGTATAAGTTTCAATTGAAGGAGTAATAGATTCAGTAAACGCAGGTGGTGCTTCCATAAAGTTAAACTGCTTACATTGTTGTTTACGATAATCTTCCTCCATGAAATTTAACTGACTTAGATTAACAGACGCTCCAACAATTTTATTCAAGAACGGGCTGAATGCGTACATACCGTGTTCAGCGACCAGAAAATTGTTAGGTATAGTTGACACGATCAAACTTGGCAAAGTCTGTAATAAATTATCTGTGAGAATCGACGTACCTTTTCCCTTAGTTCCACATGGGACTGTAGTTATTTGCTGCGGTTTGAACACGCCCTTGTTAAGTTAGGAAAAGCGTAGTAAAGACAAAGTGAAAAGGGATAACCGAATAACAGAGGTTAGAGGTTACTTAGGTGCGCAATAGATCAGGGTCGGGTTTATAACTGCCTGGTTTGATTTGCATGTTTAAACAAGTGTCTTGACTTTCCTAAATTCCTGAGAATGTTGAACTTTCATTAAAGTCTGATGCTGGCAATATGCTCAAATTCTGACTGCTTGCATCTCTTTCTTTTACACATCAATTGGTGTAATGTTATTCCTTTTTCTTTACTAGTGTCCGCTGCAATTCTTACGTGGCATTTCTTTTCAATGTTTACGATATTCTCTATAATGTCTGCGTTCTGTCAGCAATCGCTCTAGTCTAGTTAGTAAGTTGAAGGAAGAAAGTAAATGCGACAGGTTTATTGTGGACTATGCCAATTTTGAACGTCCCAACTATACATACCTCCTTACTTACATAACATTCATTTCCAAAGATTTATTTAAACAAATATGAATTCTTTGGCTTGCTATTTTAAATAGTATTTGTCTTTGGATTGTTCTTAACCTATTTTGTGTTTCGAAGATACTAGATGCAAACTGCAATGGCTTAGTTTTCATAGTAGTCGTGTTAGGTTGAGTTATCCCATTGTAGTATTTTTTTTAATGGATTATACGATACGATACAGTAATCGGGTCCGACTGACGGCGATTGTTGAGTAAGATAGTAAGACTTTTCATATGGCATCATCAAAGGCAGATTTAAGATGATGCAAACGATGCACTTTGCATTGGGCCCCCGATTAATGGAGTCCCACAAGTGGTCCCCAGCCTCGTCCAGTTATGTATTTCTTGTAAAAATGAAAATTACAGGTTAATCTAACTAATCTTCGCATTTCCCTTAACATTTGCGAACAGTAATCTTATCTAGGTCTACGTCTACACGGAGAAAATGAAAACGGAAAATTCACTTAAATATTAAACCGATATTTACAATTTATCCTATTATCCCGTTGCTTAGTAAGCGAAAATAATAAAAATTACAATTTGGATCAGAATTTGTAAAATAAAATAATTAAAAAAGAAAACGTCAAAATTGAAATTATTACAAGTTACTTTATAAATTCTACTATTTCCACAACAAATTCAGCCATTTACAATCGAAAATTGTAATTTGTGCGTTGTTATTAAAATTTACTTTTCTGCATGCACTCCTCTTAACTCCTGTTTCTGCCTCTAATATGTCTCTCTCTAGCCGTTCATACCTAAGAAGGTATCCTACCAACCTATCTCGCCTATTTCTTATTAACTTCCATAGAGTCCTCTGTTCTCTTATTCCTAATACCTATTTATTTCTAACCTTAGCTATCTAAACTGCTAAATACCGATAACCCTCTTACCAAAACAAACTTCGAACGTATTAAAGAGGATTTGTTGGGCTCTCTCAAAAAAATTGTACATTTGTCTTTGAGTGTCATTAGTTATCCATTCAAAATTATTTGTAGAAAATTTACATTTAATCATTGTCTGTTACATGTCACAAATCGACTACGTAAACTCATCTAACTCTGTTCTTAATGAACTGTAAAAGTCACTTTTACTTTCATTATAACCCCACGATAAATTAGTACTCCGTTTGTCTAAAAAGCGCGCGCCGGTCATTAAGAATTTTCAAACACGTTTATTTAAAAAATATCCAACGTTCAGCTGTTCTTTTGATCTTAAATGTAGATCATTATCAGTCCCGCTTTTAGCGTACTCCCCGTAGAATATAATTTCTAGGTCAATTTTGACCCAGTGGTGTTTCACTAAAAATACGCCCGTTGAATTATTTTTGAAAACAAAATAATCACTCTGCGGTGGTGTTGCCAAAAAATGTGTTACAATTATTTTATTTTCTGGTCGTTGAGAATCATTAATCAACTGGTATCGTGGTAGATTCATTGTGAACGAGCACTTTAAATAGTTGCTCGTTTCGTTTTTAATCGAAGTAGGTAGAATGTTAAAAATAACGTTATCATTTTCGTCATAAACAAACTTCTTTCACTTTTTCAAACGTAGCGGCAACCCTAACGTTTTGCCAAAAAACTACCAACCGTTCAATATCAAAAAGGAACCTTCATAGGGATATATCTGTAGGGGAATTATTAAATCACAGGGGTCGGTTTAGTTTTGTGCCACAGTCGAGTACAACTACGATAAAATGAAAAGCTTGTGAAATTAATTTTTGGAAATTGTGCAGAATTTTCGTTATAGTTTTCTTGTAAACCGAATTGTCCATTGTCTATTTGTAGGTATAGTGATATATCTCGGAAACTTCCCATACCCTTTACCTTTTGCGAGCATGAGGTATTAGAAAGAATAAGAGAACAGAAGACTCTATGGAAGTCAATAAAAAATAGGTGAGATAGTTTGGTAGGATACCTATTTAGACATGAAGGTCTAGTCAGAGACATATTAGAGGCAGAAACAGGAGTTAGGAGGGGTAGAGGTAGACCTGTATTAGATTACTGTTCGCAAATAGTTAAGGATGTGGGCTGTTCTAGTTTTAGGGATAAGCGAAGTTTAGCTCAGGATAGGAAAAAGTGGAGGTACGTGTCCAACCAGTCTTAGGACTGACGGCCTTATGATGATGATGACTTAATATATATCCCTGTTTCTTCTTCTAGTGTGTATCTAACTTGTTCTTCATGAAGGTATTCTACCATCCTATTTTTCCTTTTCCTTACTGACTTCCTAGGTTGTCCTCTGTCCCTTTAACTAACTCGTCCCTAACTCTCCCTTCATGAAAATGTCCTACCGTGTCGTCTTTTATTTTCGTTACTGACATCCTTAAGTATTCCTCTACCCCTTTTTACTTTTTTTATGCTTCTACTATGTCTTTAATTAGATCTTAATGAAAGTGCCCTACCATATAAGCTGTCCATTCCTTTAGTGTTTTCTCGAGTCTTCTTGGGCCTCTTTTATTCCTTTTTCCATTTCTAGTATGTCACTAGCTCTCCCTTCATGGAAGTGTTCTAAGTCTTTCTTTGTCCCTTTTTAACCTTTTTATGCTTTTGCTAAGCGTCTAACTAGTTCTTTATGAAGGTCTTCTACTATGTCAACTCCCAATTCCCATATTGACATCCTGTGCCCCTTACTCATTTTTCTGCTTGTGGTATGTGCTTAACTTACCCTTCATAGTATGCCATCTTTCTATTTCCTTAATGGCTTCCATAAGTTTTCCTGTGTCTTCCTTTTTACTCCTTTTTCTGTTGCCAGTAGCTCCTAACTCGCCTTTCATAAAGATTCCTGCTATGTCACCTCTCTTTTTCCCTACTTTTTTTGTGTTCCATGGTTACTGATTAAATTTGAGAATGCTTTCAGTCCATAAACCTCCCTTTTTTACGCAGGAGCTGAACCTTTAATTTGTAATAAGGATGATAACTTGACTGACGTAATGCTATAGGGTGTAGAGAATAAACCACTTACATGTAATATTCATTTTGGGTTATGTTACTATATTTGCTTGCGAGAGTTTACCCGATGTTTATCTTCCTTCTGCGTTACCTACGATATTTATTTTTCGGCGAGGTATATAATTTTACGTTTATTTTTAAGAAGGAACGTCGGAACGCACTTTTGCTTCATAACATGATGAAATTGGATACTTCAGTATAAGGCAGGAGCATCGCTCTGAATAAAAGTAGCACCTAATTTTCCGAAAAAGAAAAACAAAATAACAATAACAATAATACTTAAGCAAGTAAAACGCAAGAAGTTTTATACAGATCATCAAGTTAAATCAGGCGTGGAAAACGTAAAGTTAGCTCCAGATTTCCCAATACGGGCAGTGAAGTGTAGGTAATCTACTGGGTAGGGATGCCGCAATATCATGCCTAATTGGGCCAGTAAAATAGAGTGCAGTTTTCTTTTCGTGTAGTTAGGAAGTCAGATAAGTCAGGACGGAAGGAGTAGTAGGGATATAAAGCAGAGGATAGCGCAGGGTCGTGTCGCCTTTAATAAAAAGAAGTCACTTCTATGTTCGCAAACGATTAATTTAGAAATTCGAAAAAGGTTGTTAAAGGTGTATGTTTGGAGCATGGCGCTGTACGGGTGCGAAACATGGACAGTGGGTGCGGCGGAAAAGAAAATGTTAGAAGAGTTGGAAATGTATTGTTATAGGCGGATGATGAGGATAACGTGGGTAGAAAAGGTTAGAAATGAAGAGGTATTAGAAAGAATAGGAGAACAGAGGACTTTATGGAAGTCAATAAGAAATAGACGAGATAGGTTGGTAGGACACCTTCTCAGGCATGAAGGTCTAGTCAGAGACATATTAGAGGCAGAAACAGGAGTTAGCAGGGGTAGAGGTAGACGAGATTACTGTCCATAAATAGTTAAGGATATGGGTTGTCCTAGTTTTAGGGAAATGCGGAGATTATCTTAGGATTAAGAACGAGTGGAGGTGCGTATCCAACCAGTCTTAGGACTGACGACCTTATGATGATGAGTTACCACTCAGAAGGATATTTTTCGTATAGTTTTCGGCAGGATGTTTGGAGAAATTATCTCAAGTTTTTTAATTATTACAATTAAATTTGTAATATCTAGTAAATTTATTTCTGGTGGCATTTTATTTTTACAAATTCAGGTCCAAATTATAATTTTTATTATTTTCGCTTACGAAGCAACGGGCTAGTAGGATAAATTGTAAATATAGTTTTAAAAATTAGATGAATTTTCTTTTTCTTTTTCTCATGGACCTCTTCAATCAATTGCATAATTGTAGTTACCTATAAGAAGTACCTAACTCCGAAAAAAATTCTTATATACGTCCAGTGCTGAGAGTTTAGGATCAATTAAGATTTATTCAAAAGGCTATTTTGGACAAATGGATCCAAAAATACATTTTGCTTGCAAGCGTTATTAATTTGGCGTGCAAATTTTAGTCATCAGGGAAACTTTTTTAGAGCGATAAGTAGCGGGGGAAGTTGTCCGAAGTGTGAATGATCATTATCATTAATAACATTTGGTAGGACGATAATTGTCTCGTACCTACAGTTGTAATCAAATGGTCTATGTAAATTAATGTTTTAGGTAAATGCTTCAGATAATCATACCTATCATGGTGTACACATATTGTGACTATGGCTACTAAACCAATAAAAATTGTTAAAGGTGTACCTATTAATGTGAGATTCGAGTTACTTGACTTTAAAATTGTTATTTATTTTATATATGCACCTGAATTATTTCCTTAATCATTATATGTAATTCAAATTTAATACGTTATCAAAAAGTATACCCACCATTTACGTTAGAAATCTGTTAAAGAATCTATAAATTTTTTACTACTTTTCAAATAAGGTTATCTCCAGTCTCTTATAATGTTATTTTCTGTCCACTTGTCCTTTTATATCAATGAAAGGATACGTACGAAAGATAGATATGATGACCTGTTCAAACAAAATCTTATCTTCAGCGAGCAACAAAGAACATATCCTGTAAAACACAATCAAGTCATTTACAAGGCCTAATTTTGAAATCGTTCGTATATATCAGAATTTCAAAAATAATTTTGACATAAGAATTCGGATGAGTAAGGATGAATTGTTCGTTAATTATTATTAATTGATCATTTACCAGTACATTGCTGTTATTGTATTTATCTTAATTTACTAATAAAAGGGAAAGTCCTGACTCACTGACTTACTGACTGTCAACGTTCAGGCTAAAGGCTTGTGCCTAGCTAGCTGAAATATTGGACAGAGGTTTCCTTACAAGGAATAAGGGAGGATATTTCCGAAAACAATTCCTATAAAGGCGAAAAGGGATGACAGAATTTGTATGGGATATTTTTGTTTATGGTCAGATTTACTTTAAATTTTGCATTTGATCTGAAATATTAATATGAAAATTCATTTGTTGAATTTTTACCCACTGTTGTTGTAATTACAACAATTTTCCCTCATTAACCTAAAGTAGTTTGTAGTGGATAAAAAATTCGACAAATGAATTTTCATATTAATATTTCATATAAAAAACTTCGAAAAATGTCAAAGTGTTTGCATTTGATCTTTGATGTAACTATTCAAACATTTATTTCGGCATTTTAAAAAATTAGAGTTACAGTTAGCGGAGCAGGCTGATCACAGCTATAGTTTTCAATTCAATTCATCCCTTGTTATATGAATAAAAGCAATCTAAACCATAATGAGACAGAAGCTGCTTATTTTCTTAAAACTTCTGCCAACGTTTTGCCCTAAATTATGTTATGTAACATTGAGGCTAGTTAATAATAATAATAATAATAAAAGATGTGAGTGATATTCTTTGGCATTACCCCCTCTTCACTTGCTCAAAGTGACCAGTGAAAACTGAGAAGACCAGGAAAATAATAATGATTTTTCGTCTGATAAAGTCTCATAATTTAGAGCGAAACGTTAGCAGTAGTTGTTACAAAATAAACAACTTTTACCTCATATTGGTTTACGTATATTATCCCCAATAAATTTTCTTTCATACATGAAACTGAACAGTTACGAAATTACACATAGGTGCCAATTTTAAATCCCTTCTTTGATATTGAAGTCGCACCTTGCCAACTAATTTTGAGATTATTCAAATCGCGTTTGTACTTGTGCTTATCCACGGTTATTTATACTGCTAACAGGACACATATTTAAGTCAGAAATTCGTAAGAATAAGTTTTTTCGAGTATTGTATACGCGGCTATTTCTAGCGCGGATAATACATTGTACCTCTACGCAAACACAAACACCACAACAACTATCTTGTCTGTGTTTTGCCTCGTTCCAAACCATTGACACAAATATTTTGACGTCCGTTTCTTGAAATTGAACTAGCACTTTGGCCAAAAGCAAAACGCGAATATTTCCCTTTTTATGTCTTTAGAAAAGTAGGTGCATCGCAATAATTAATTGCATTTTGTAAAAATCAGCGCTACTTGTTTTTATTTACCTTCCAAACCAGTGGGATTTCTTCAGACAATTGTGGAATTCAAAGTTTCGTACATATAAACAGGGTGTGGAAGATAGAGAGGAGGAATTACTTTCTAGAAAAGAAATGGACACCTGACTACTGTTCGTTTCAAGAAGTTAGAAATATGCCCCTTCCTTTTAGTAGGATGCGCGGTAGCATAATTCCAAATTCAATCATATTTGTCTGCGAAGCTCATTTCTCTACTGATCATCGAGCGAGAACTAGACAAAAGTGTATAGTACCATTTGCAAAATTATTTAAACTGTTTCCTTAAGAAATTTAGGAAGAATTTAAGAATATGCTTTATTTAAAAGCATATTTAGCCAAAAATAATAACAGGTGAATTAACATAACGTTCTACACACCTATAAAACTTTTTCTTTGTTTTCTATTGTTAATTTATAAAAATTTTTGTTTTAAGAAATTGCTAAACATTTTCGTCTAGTACTGTACAGTTCTAGCCGATCTTCTAAGACCGCCCATCGAGAGCTCTGCTCGTTCAAGCTTGTTCTATTTCTGTCTTACTCACGCCTAGTGTGTATTCTTTCTATCTTCGCGCAGATTTCTTCGAGGTCACAATTCTAACAAATTGAAATAGACTGTACTATAATCCACTTATGGAGAATAACAGCGACATGCGGGAGAAACAGAGAAAATTGAAAAAGAACAAGACAGACAAAAACTAGATGAAATACTAAATTCATCCAAATATGCAAAGAAATACAAACAAATAAACCCAATCAACACCACTAGTTTGTTTACCTATTTATTTGCAAGCATGTAATGGATTTTTTTTTGGTAGCTTAACATGTGCTACCTACCTACACCGCACTTTATCTGGATATTTGCCACAAACGGTTAAGCCATTTTGTTTGAGTTTACTTTTCAATAATTTGACAGGAGCGTTTAAAGTTCCATTTCAATTTGGCTTCAGGTTTGTAATGGTAATGATGGTTGCTAATGAAAAATAGGTGACCACGGTAGGTGTTTATGTGTATACATACCTGTCAGTCACATTTGCATCATTAACATTTTTAATGATTGTTTTCCAATGCTAATTGACTGATGGCTTTTGTTGAAAGTAAAGTGACAACTGAAATGAAAGATAGGTCTGTCTGAATTAACATGCAAGCGTTTTTCTACATAAATATATTTTCTATTGTAACTCTGCATGGCTGGAATTATGTCTCTAAACAAGCGTCTTAATTTACCAAAATTCTGCTTGTTACACATCAATTGGTGTAATGTTTTCCTTTTTCTTTATTAGTGTCCGCTGCAATTTCTACCTGACATCTCTCTTCTATATTTGCGAGATTCCCCATAACATCTGTCATGAGTAAAACTAGGCGTTCTGTTAGCAACCGCTCTAGTCTAGTTAGTATGTTGAAAGAAGAAAGTAAATATAACAGTTTTATTGCGGATTATGCCAATTTTGAACGTCCCAACTATGTAGTTTATATAGGTACTGACCGACGACCTTGCAAAGACTAAAGGAATAATACTGCTACCCTGTTTCTCACTTGTATATTTATTTACTACATTTTCCTTTAAGTGCATAGTTATTCATAGGAGTACCCTTAACTCCCAGCCCAGTTATAGCGAATACTTTACCAGATTCTGGCTGTTTTTCTAACGCTTCCTTCGATAATCCATGTCTGGATGTTGTGGCATACAGTACGTCGAAGTTTGGACCACCAAAAGCTAGAGAAGTGACCCCAGAAACTGGCATTTCAATTTTTTTTAATACTGCCCCATTCTTACCATCAACTTGAAAGACCTTTTGATTGAATCAGATTAATTGTTATTATTTATTGCTGTCCAGGTATATATTACAACAGTAGGGATAGAATATACAGGGACAAAAAATTAGTATGCTTAGATTTAAAGATGATACCTATAGCAGTAATAGCATCTACCATGGAGAAATTAGAGATAGCTTTTAAATAAAATGGACTGCTTTGTCAATAACCCTTGTATGACAATAAATAAAAGTAAAAGATAAATACTGGTATGCAAGGGAAGAAAAAGTAGGGAAAGAGCGAATATAATTATAGGAGACGAGAAATTAGAAGAAGTGGCTGATTTTAGGTATATGGGAAGTCAGATAAGTCAGGACGGAAGGAGTAGTAGGGATATAAAGCAGAGGATAGCGCAGTCAAATCGCCTTCAATAAAAAGAAGCCATTTCTATGTTTGCAAACAGTTAATTTAGAAATCCAAAAAAGATTGTTAAAGGTGTATGCTTGGAGCGCGGCGCTGTACGGGTGCGAAACTTGGATGATGGGCGAGGTGGAAAATAAAAGGTTAGAAACGTTTAAAATGTGGTGTGACAGGTGAACGATGTGGATAGAGAAGATTAAAAATGAAAATATATTATAAAGAATAGGAGAACATAGGACTCTATGGAAGTCAGTAGGATGTAGGGGAGATAGGTTGATAGGACACCTTCTCAGGTATGAAGGGCTAGTCAGAGACATATTAGAAGCAGAAACAGGAGTTAAGAGAAGCGGTAGACCTAGATAAGATATTACTATTCGCAAATACTTATGGGAAATGCGATGATTAGTTGAGGATAATAAAGAGTGGAGGTGCGTGTCCAACAAGTCTTGGGACTGACGAAACTTATGATGATGAGGTATATAATAAGATTAAATGATGAGGTATATAATAAGATTAATTTACCAATCCACCCCTGTATATCGCGATCCAAAGGTTATCATTAGAATCAATTGTGATTCCATCAATAATTCCGGACGGCGAGATATCTGACAAATTATCTAATTGGAAAAGTATTTTCGGATTACCTAGAACAATAAAATTGCTTATCAGTAAAACTGAAAAAAAAATGAAGTTCTTCAGAACCATTCTCGATAAAGCTTACTTATAGTCCCATTTTGAACGTTACAATCAAACACTTTGATATCTTTTACAGCGCTATCAACAAAAAAGAATCTCTTTTCGTCTTTACTCCATGCAATACCATTACTTATGGTCAGACTATCCAATAGTACTTTTGCCGCCCCGTTTTCATCAATAATAAACAAACTACCCCCTGGCTCAGTTACTGTAAGGTCTAAGTTTCTGGTAAGAGTCCCTACAAAAAAAGAATATGCCAATAACCTTTATTTTTTAAATCTTCGACTTATTCATTTTACATATTCTTATTTGTTTGAAAAATAATAGCAAAGGTCAGTCAGATGTGGATATTCTGTAGTTTTCTACTGAAAGAAAATTATTTATTGATAAATACCAAGCCAGAGTCGCCCTAGACTGTCTGCCTTTCCATCATTAGCTTGATTGCGTGGTTTATCCGGTTCTAAATCGTCAATAATTGATTCTGAATAATCGACAAATCCTGAATTATTTGTTTCTCCATCCCAGGTCAAAACCCACACTGCTTTGTCACAGGTTATAAGAAATTTATTTTCTGTGCCATCAATTGGAGTAACGGTACCAATTGAGTGTGCTTTTCCTAAAAAAGTCCTTCCATTTCAATGATTAAAATGTGCAGATTACAGCGGCCCATTGTCGAAGACCTTTTCTTCTTATTTTGTATGAATACTTGTTTGGTTTAGATGCTCCAATAAGCCTTTTTTATTATTATTAAAAAAAAAAAAACGTATACCTCGAGAATTTTAAAATATTGAGTGATTATTAAATTGTATTTCAATTGAACAATTTATTATCTATTATAATAGTTCTGTTATTTCAAGCGGCAGATTTGAAGAAAAAGAAAAGGTTTAAGTGCTTATTACTAGTTAATAATTAACCAAGTCTCTTTTGCTTGTGTTGTTTCCGAAATTATAATGCTAAGCTTCGGGTTTTTAGTCTATTATAACTTCTAGAGCTTGCGGTTAGTTACTACTTCTTTATAAATTAAGGTAGTACTAATTAAAGAGAACGTTAGATACTCTGAATTATATAAGGAAAACAAAAGTAGCATCATAAATTATCAAATTACTTTTAGTTGAGCTCAAAGCAAGTATTTCTTCGCTGTTATATTTCCTAATTAAAGTTAAGGGAAAGGTCTCCAACTTTATTTCTAAACGTTTCATCAGCAAAGTTTAACGTTTTATATATATATATATGTAATAAGTTCGTGAAAATCTAATTTTAGAGCTTCAGATTCGGAAACTTCAGTCCCTGTGTGATATCGACAGATATTCGATTTTACACTTTTTGACATTAATTCATTTCGCTACTTTACCGATTTGTTGATGGGTCAGAATTCCATCTTTGAGTCGAAAAACTGTCGGGGAAAACGTATTAACATAATAAAGAGCCTGCTTTCTCGGATCCCAATGTGGTCCCTCGGCGTGCCATGTCGCTGCTGTCACAGGAACTATTTTGTAAACACTATCGCTGGACGGTAGGGCCCTGCATTCAACAACAAAGCATTTAATTGTCGTATATTATATTAAATTAATTCGTTTCATTACTTTTCTCGACACTCACAAGACATTGGTAACGGTTTTCTACAATTTTCTAGGAGCCTTGTGGTAAAAATATTACAATAGCACTTACACAATACAATACACACAAGTCCTTTAAGACTTATCATATTATATTTTATACACCCTTGTCTCTTTTTGTATACGACATGTGTCATGTATTTGTCAGACTATGACATACATATATTAGTAATTCGTTTACGTATATTTTTTCTACCAAAACGAGGACACAGTTTTCCTTTATACTAAAACATTTCGTCACCGAAAGGATTAGATTGACATTAATGTCGGCGATATATAGACAAAACGCGAAACATTTCACTTATAATGACAAATAATTTTTATAATTTGAACAAGCCTTTTTCTTACCATCAACTTGAAAGACCTTTTGATTGAATCAGATTAATTGTTATTATTTATTGCTGTCCAGGTATATATTACAACAGTAGGGATAGAANTATTAGTAATTCGTTTACGTATATTTTTTCTACCAAAACGAGGACACAGTTTTCCTTTATACTAAAACATTTCGTCACCGAAAGGATTAGATTGACATTAATGTCGCCGATATATAGACAAAACGCGAAACATTTCACTTATAATGACAAATAATTTTTATAATTTGAACAAGCCTTTTTCAGGTAATAGGCAAGTTACTCTCTGAAATTGATACGGTATTTTACATGTCAACTGCTTTAGCCTCTTTTATGTCCAGTTTCTCCAATTTATGTCCAATTTGTTCTCATATTAGATGTAATACATGATTAATAATGAAGCCCTAGAAACACGTTATTTTTAAGTGTTTCTTTGACTTTTACTGTTTTAGTATTCATTAAAGCTTAATGGTTTGTGCTGTCATACTAGTTTTATGATTCAATTTTGTAACAGGTTGCTCTATTTCGAGCATGTTCAAGTTTAATTTGCAAGATGTTTAACCAGATTTAATTATCTTGGAGTTTGAATCCACTATAATCCAGGACGTGTAGGAATACTAACATAAAAATTTAGACGTTTATTTTCTGTAAATATTAAGTACCTGTAGTGGTTATGATTTATTGTTAGTTTGAAAAAGCTTTGGTTTATTTCAAAACAGAAAGTAATTAAACAGGTACCTAACCTAAATTCTTCGTAAAGATTGAATAAGGAAAACCTAATTTTTTGTAGGTACAACATTAAATAAATTGAGAGAAATATCATTTAATTAATTTGAAAGATTTTGAGCACTTTTTGAACATTTACAAATTTCAAAAAAAAAACAAATTGAAGATTGTAGTCACCTGTGTACAGATAAAAGGAAAAGAGAAAACCGAGTGATAGTAAGCAGTGCAGCAGTTAGAGGTTGCTTACGTACCCAAATGATCAGGGTCGGCTTTATAATTGCCTGGTTGGATTTATATCTTTAAACAAACGTCTTTGCTTTTCTAAATTCCTGAGAATGTTGAACTTTCTTTAAAGTCCGATACTGGCAACATGCTCAAATTCTGTTTGTCTGCATCTCTTTCTATTACACATTGATTGGTGTAATGTTATTTTTTTTTCTTTATTAGTGTCCGCTGCAATTCCTACCTGACATCTCTTTTCTAGATTTACCTATTTACAATATCATTATAGAAGTAGGCGCTCTGTTCCGCTCTAGTCTAGTTAGTAAGTTGAAAGAAGAAAGTAAATGCAACAGTTTTATTGTGGACAATGCCAATATTAAACGTCCCAACTATACTATGGCAAGGAAAAAGCATCTTCGCTTATTTAAAAATAGGTTAGCCAATCAGCTGTGGTCTGAGATGAAGAATTCCGGAAAAACCCCGCCAAAAGTCAAAAAATCAAGGCAGAACGTCGAAGGGAGCACGCGTTGTCGATCGATAAAGATCTATTATGGATATCTTCTAAGATATGATATAGTTAGAGACAGAAACAGGAGTAGATAGGGGCAAAGGAATTAACTAGTGATATGGGTTGTCCTGTTTTTTTAGGAAATGCACACGATTCGCGAGAGTTACACAATAGGTAAAGGCTTTTAGGTGCAAGAACCCTGCGACACCCCCTCCCCTTCCATTGTATAACCATGTGGTAATTTTCACCAAGAATAAAACAATTAAAAAGTCGCTTTTATTAAAATTAAATTAAAATTAACTAAAAAAACTGTTGTATGTTTCCTTGGTATCGATAGTCATTCATATTGTTTCCAGTTACTCCCAATCCTTCTATAGCGAACGTGCTTCCCGCAGAAGGCTGTTGATTGAGCATGGACTCGTTAAAACCGTGCCTAGACGTTGTTACGTAAAGTATGTCAAGATTTTTTCCACCAAACGCAACAGAGGTAACATGCGACACCGGCATCTTAATTACTCGGATAAGGTTTCCAGTTTGAGAATCCACATTAATAACCTAAACGTGAAGGGTTTTTAATAACGGAACAACTTCGAAATATGGATTACAATTAAATGTTGTTGTCTAAGCTGAAAACGTGATTGTTATTTAATTTTAATTAACGGTATTCGAGGAAATAACGCAACGAGATCACCGTGAGATAATTATTTTCGAAACTGAAAATATATTTATTTCTCAAACAAAAAAATGTTGGTTTGTATCCTATGAAGACTTTTTTGTACCGTATAAGCGAGATAGGTTCCTAGGACACCTTCTCAGATATGAAGGTCTAGTCGGAGACATATTAGGGGCAGAAACAGGAGTTAAGAGGAGGAGAGGTACATTTAGATTATATTACTGTTGACAAATAGTTAAGGATGTGGCATGTTCTGGTGTTAGGAAAATGCGAAGATTAACTCAGGATAGGAAAGAGTGGAGGTACGTGTCCAACCAGTGTCAGGACTGACGACCTTATGATGATGATGTTGATAGAGAAAAATCAATTTAATTTTGTTGTAAGTCGTACTTACTGCGCCTCCTCTATATAAGGCTACCCAGAGGTTATCATTCGAATCGGCGGCCATTCCATCAGGGATGACATCGGATGCATAGGACGGATAATCTGATAGCTTAAATAGTTCCTTCCAGTTACCTATCGCAGATACAGTAATAGTATTAGGGGTAAGTAAATTAATTTTTCGACAGAATTCATGATCTATAATTTAGGATTTGCACAATATCGATAAAATCCAATATCGGAGAGACTAGCGCAGATTTCGTTATCGGTGGTATACTTCGGTCAGTTTCTGTAGCGATGTGACCTTCAGTTTGACCGGCGCAAAGTAGAAAAGAACAGCACTAGTCCAGAAAATAAAGGAGACAACTCTCGGCCAAACTCTTAACCGGTGAGGAGCGTATAATCCGTACAGTACTGCACGGAAAAATTGACCATTTTATCCACTACAATTGCATTGTTCAAATGTGCTGTTATTGGTATCATTTACTACTGAAAACATCAACGAGATGTTTATTTATATTTAAAGACATATTAAACGCTTGTTTTCGACTCGCACTATTATTCATGATTGAACAAAACTTTTGGCAGGTACTGTATGAAAAAGTATGTTTAATGAACAAGAATTGAGAGTATAATGAGATTTTTTCTCTCTACCTACGATTTATCAGCGCGCACCCAAAACTTTGGAAGGGGCACATCGCTAGAGAAAGTAAATGAAGTATAAAAGTTTAATTCGGTGCATTAGGGGAATTATAGGCTAAAGCTCTATTCGTCGCTATATGCGAAGGCTTTTATCTGAGTTAACAAACAAAAACAATTAAAAGTACAAATTTTCGCCTTTATATATGCGAATCGTTATGTCTCTAAGGGGAGAATGGGTGATAGCTATAAAGTGGTGCTTAAGTCTCATTGAATCTCGTCAGTACACCGTGGAGTTGGAACTATGGACGGCGCGGCGTGCGGAGGAGATCCAATGTACTGCTGTTTGTCTTTTATGGCACCTTATAACGGCGACATTTAAAACTGAAAAGTACTGTATGTGTTTTACATTTACGTACTAAGTGTTCCATCTTCACGGTTGTAATCAAAGACTGTGACTGTTCTGTTGGTGCTGTCTATGAAATAGAATTTCGTGTCATGACTGTTCCAATCAAGTCCGTTACTGATTGTAGTGTTTTCGAAAAGTTTCTTGGCTGTTCCATCGCAGCGTAACATGTACAAACTGCCCCCTGTTGTTGTAACAGTGTCGTCTGCATTTCTTGTCAGGGTACCTACAATTAAACAAAAATGAAATCCGAAAACTTATTTAATCTGGTCTCTTTAAAAGACATAAAATAACTTTCGTTGTTCGTCGTTTTTTCAAAAATCTTCAAATCCTATGTATACTCCTTTTTTTTATCGTTTTCTCTATTTTTATCTTGCGCGTTCCCCTGTTTCTTCTAAACCCGAATTGACTATCCTCTATAATTTCTTCCGCCCTTTCTACATCTTTTTTTTTGTAGATTGTAATTAAGTTTTTTAATTCTAAAATGGTCGCATCTCTCCACGTCGCTATTTTTTGGTATGACTAATAATTCGGAGTTTTCCCCGTGTCATATATATATATACATATATATAACATTCTTATAAAACCAACAACCGATGTTTCAGTCTTATCTGCAGGGCATTATCAGTTGTTTTTTATATGTTAATTTACTATATTAATTAGTTTTTATCTATAGAACCGCTGCGCTTTTCAAATCTTATCAGCTTAGTAAGATAATGTTCTGACTAGAAGAACCCACATGGAAGAAATGTCATTTGTTGGTTTTATAAGAAAAGATAACTTTTAAACTTATATTTGCATTGAGTCGTTCATTTTCTTTGTTTTGTATATTATATTATTATAAAGTGCTACGTTATGCAAACCTAGCCAAAATTGCCCATGTGTGTCAGCTTTCCCGTCGTTGATTTGATTGTTTGGTTTTGTTGGCTCTAAATCATTGATAAACGGCCTCCTATAGTTTATAACAGCAGAATTATTAGCCGACCCGTCCCAGTCCATAATCCATGCATTTGTATCGGAGGTTATTAGAAATTTAGATTTTGTGTCAGCAACGGGAGTTACTGTACCAACAAAGTCTGCGTTACCTAAAAAAGATGTTCCTCAAAATTGCTTTTGTTGCTAAAACCACAACATATGAATCGCTCACCAATTGTTTGAGTTGTCACGATGCCATCTTTCAATCGATAGATACCTGTATTGAACGCGTCCACAAAATAAAGTGCTTGCCTTTTTGGGTCCCAATGGGGAGCTTCGCCATGATCGATGGGACCAGTAACGCGATAAATTTTTATGTTTTTATTTGAATATGCTACGTAACCGTTACTAAGTGGGCTGTAACAATTATTAGTTTGTAAAACTACAAAGATAAGCAAAAAAATATTTTTTTAGTCTTATTAGTTAATCTTAGTGGTCTAGGAAGCTAATGAAAAAGTTGCATTTGCACAATTACAAATAAGAGAATGTTTTAACACTTACATCGTTTTTGTTTTAAAGAAAAGCTATTTGATTTATAAATTTTTTTAATTTTTATGTTTTATGTACAATTTTAAAATTATCTTCACAAAAATTGTGATTACATTATTTTTATTAACAAAGCACAGCTGAAAGAATCCCATATTACATTCTTTATGGGTTCTTTAATTATAGTTTTAAAGGATCTTCCAGTTTGTCCAACGTAGATAACATCGTAATCATTACAGTAAACTTGCAAATGTTATCTATTTTCGAAATTTTGCTGTGTATTATCTAACATTAGACCTAGATTGCTTTTATTGGAGCATATATAGGAGATAAACTGTACATTTACTTTTAGCAATTTATGAAATTTCTAATTTATTATTGACCTACTTACTAACGTAGTATAAATAGTGATAATGGCCTAATAATCCAAAACATTGCAAGCGAATACTTATTAAAACTTTGTAAAACATTTCAATAAGTGTTTGCTTATGTTCAATCGCTAATAATTCCAAATATGATATAAGCATTGCATAAGTAGTCTTATCAAATAAAAAAATGCTATTGCAGTTGTTGACGTAGATTAATTTGAAATTTAAACTAACTAGAGCAAATTTCGCAATTATGTTCTATAACTATAACATCGAATTTTTTGTACTGCAGGAACTTTTTATAGGGTAGTAAGTAATTTAAATTAGAAGAAAAATTGGTATCCGTTATGAACCTACGTGACTCCGTAAAGGGATAATGGTTTCTATTAATAAAAACCAAAATAAATTGTTAAATGATTCAACTTTTTGAGATGTTAAGTTTTGAAGGGAATTTTCGTATATACTAGACACCCATAAAATTACAAAATATGTATATATAATATAACATAACGAAATAAATAAATACATTTTAAGTAATGTATCGTAAAATTACAGTTGTAATACCAAATTCGAATTTGAATAGTATGCTTACATTAATTATTATAATTAAGTTGATTTATTAAACTTACAGAAGAAGGAGGAGTAATGAACTCAAGAAAACCGAACAAGCCATCTTAAAAATGAATGTTTTCAGTTAACTTCACTTGCTTTGTTTCACGCTTCTTCTTCCCCTTAACACTTCTTCATTCTTTAGATACAAATACAGATATGAAATTTAATAAAGAGTGCGTTTATTTATATATGTTTCTGTTTTTATCTACATCTATCTTAATTGTTCAAAACACTCGAAAAACCAACTTAACGTTTAACAAAGCATTGTCGTTGAAAGATGTTCGCGATACTTACTAAACAACTATCAACTTGCGAATTTTTAGTAGGTAGGTAAATTTTAAAAAAGCGAACCACCGAATCGTTGTTATACATCTGCACTTTGAATCTTGTACCTTACCTTTACCATTTTTACAGTTCCGTTATAATCTTTATTATTACATTGACCTGTTGAGATTCCGTTTGTGTCACCGCCTCTCTACTGTTTTCTTGTCGTTAGATAATGCAATTGAAGTGCCCACTTGAACAATCGATATTAAGAAACAGGAAATACTATCTATGTATCTATTAGTTTCATTAATTTACTATTTATTTGTTCTGTCTCGTTTGGTACAAAAAATAAAATAAAGCAAGCATTACCGTCCCTTAATGTGTATTAAAAGCAAAAATGTACGTTTCCGTTCCATTTCAGGTACTACATGGAAAAATACAAAGAAGGCGTTGCGCATATTGTATGAAATAAGTGCATTGTTTGATAATAAAGAATGCAGCGTAGTTAGACAGCTTCCGGCAGACTTCACGTCTATCTCAAATCAAATTTGCATCACGTATTCTATATATGCACATTCTGCTCTTTGGCAAACTACTGAACGTATTTCCAACAGCAATTTCCACACAGCAAAAATAAGTGCCTATATCTGTCTAAATTATTTGAATGGGTTAATTTGGGAAGTAAGTTTCTATCAATGAACACGACTTTGGAGACCTTTCATCCCGTCGGGGCTAGAATTTCTCTTTCCACTCCTGACGAATTGGAAAGGAGAGAAGAAATCCATCGCAATAATTTGCTCCTTCACGAAGCTGTTATCAAAAATGACACCGAAACCGTTCGAAGAATATTAAAAGAACCGGTGGATGTCAATTCTAGAAATAATGTAAGTTGTAAATTAATTTTTCTAGTAAACATTGTTGCTAATAGAAATGCATGCACACTTTTAAACATTAACAATTGGGTCCCCTTTATTGGAAAACTTAATGCAGCAAGATCGTGGAAATTACTAGGATTTTTTGAGTAATTTTTTACCACGATAAATAATGTTTCTTATTATTTAATGCTATAAGAATTACGTGTTTTATCGTTCAAGTTTCATTGTCATCTGTCTATTAAATAACATAGAAATAATCTAATAAGTATTAAATTAGTATGGACGATCTCCTATGCATTGGGCATCGAGCAGGGGAAACACAGATATAATGGAAATGCTTATTTCATCTAATTGTGATATAGAATCCAGAGACAAGGTAAGAAAAAATAAAGCTATTGTTCAAGCAATAATTTCTTTACATGACAAGTACAAGTACTTATCGTTAAATGAAAAAACTTTATCGATGATATTTATTGAGGAACAAAGAAACCAAAATCAACCATAATTGGGAACCGCATAAAGTACGATAATAAAATCAGTTTTGTTTTGTTTTTTTACCTTTTTAGACAATAGAACAAAACAAAATTCTTGTCAACAACGTGTGGGTTCTTTTACAAGAGTTGTCCGAATTGAAGCCATCGCGACTTAATTTATACATATTGTAATGTTCTTGGGTTTAACAAAATTTACTTCTAAGACTGACACTAATTATTAATATATCACTATTCACTGCGCTATTTATTTCACTGCTATCACCGTCAATTTATTTCTCGACTCATTTCTGCAACGGTCAATTTATTTCTTCCCCCCTCGGCGATCGTCTCTTCCTTTAAATACTCTTTTGTTTACTTTCTGGAACCCTCTAGAAACATCCGGATCGTTTATTTTTTCTTGGAACTGTTTAACTGCTTTCCCAGAACGAAGGTACGACACACACATTTACAAATACGGCGCACAATACAATACAATATAA